AACTACAGGCGCGTGCTACCACACCCAGCTAATTTTTTATTTATTGTAGAGATGAGGTCTCGCCAAGTTGCCCATGCGGGTCTCAAACCTGCGGGCTCAGGCAATCCACTCACCTCAGCCTCCCAAGGTGTGGGATTACAGGCTGAGCCACCAAGCCTGGCTTGTTTTTCACCTTTTATTTCAAAAATTTTCAGACAAAGTTGAAAGAATAGTACAGTGAACATATAGTCAACAGTTGTTAACGTCTTAACATACTTTATTTCTTTATGAATTATATTTATTTACATATATATTTATATTTTTTCTTCTGAACCATTTGAAAGTAAGTAGCAGACATCTTAATTTGCCCCTCAATATTCAGTATGCATCATCTAAAAACAAAGACATTTTTCTATATTACAAAAATATCAATATCACATCTAGGAAATTATCAGTGATTTATTAACAGTCTTCTAAAGTGGTTTATATCATACCATTGTACGAAAGTTCACGTTGCTGTATATTCTTGGTTTTGACAGTCTTTGTTTTCAGCCATTCTGGTATGTTTCTCTCATGGTGGTTTGAATTTGCAATTTTCTGCACTTTTTCATATATTTATTTGAAGTGCCTGTCTAAGCCTCCAGCTCATATTTCTATTGGGTTTATCATTCTCTTCTTGATTTGTAAGTATTCTTTATATTTTAGAATTAACCCTTTGTCAACCATATGAATTGCAATATTTCTGTCACTTTGTGACTTATCCTTTATCTTCTTAGTGGTATCTTTTGATGATTTTTTTTTTTTTGAGTTGGATTCTCATTCCGTGACATGCTCACGGCCACACCCCAGTGTTGACCTGCTGGGCTCAGGCAATCCTTCTGCCTCAGCCTTCCAAGTAGCCGGAGCTACAGGCGTGCGCTACCATGCCTGGCTAAATTTTTTATTTTTATTGTAGAGATGAGGTCTTGCCAATTTGCCTAGGCTCTCGAACCCATGGGCTCAGGCTGTTCCCTTACCTCAGCCTCCCAAAGTGCTGGGATTACAGGCTTGAGCCACCATGCCCAGCCTGATGACAATTTTAATGTGGTTCAATTTATTATTTTCTTCTGTTGTGAACTTTGTTGCGTGTTTTTCTTTAAGAAAATCTGTTTCTGTACCAAAATCATGAAGATTTTCTCCTGTTTTATCTTCTGGAAACCTTTATCTTTTTTGCTTTCACACTTAGATTTACAGTAGTATAATACCTGGAATTGATTTTTGTATATGCTGTAAAAATTGTTTTTTTGTTTTTTTAATGTGAATATTTGTCTCATCACCATTTATTAAAAAAGACCTGTAAGCCGGGCTCAGTGGCTCAGCCTGTAATCCCGCGCCTTTGGGAGGCTGAGGTAAGTGGATTGCCTGAGCCCACGGGTTCGAGACCCTCCTGGGCAACTTGGCGAGACCTCATCTCTACAATAAATCAAAAAATTAGCCGGTCGTGGTAGCGCGCGCCTGTAATTCCAGCTACTTGGAAGGCTGAGGCAGAAGGATCGCTGGAGCCCAGCAGGCGAGCTGCGGTGGCCGGGAGCGGCCACTGCACTCCAGTCTGGGTGACAGAGTGAGACTCCAACTCAAAAAAAAAAAGAAAGAAAAAGACCTGTAATCAAAATCAACAGTACTTACCTTATTGTAAATCAGGTGTCCAGTCTGGTCCAGACTTTCTGTTCATTGGTTTTTCTGTTCTCATGACAAAACCACCCTATTATAATAGCTTCACAAGTCTTCCAGTGTTCATCAAGGTATCTTGGCTCTTGTTAGCCTTTTGCCTTTCCAAATACATTTAGAATCAGTTTGTCAGTTTTATGAGTGCTTTTAGAAAGTTGGGGTTTTGTTTGTTTGTTTTGTTTTAATGAATCCATTTCATCTAAATTTTCAGAAGTATTGCCTCAACATATAGGGTACCTAAACCAGGGGAAGTGAGGACCGGTTAGGCCCAAACTTCAACTGCACATAGGTTACTTAATACCTACTCCTCACTTGTAGCCCACATCTCTATAAAAAGTAAAGTAAAAAACAAAGTATTGCCTCAGTGCTATTATAATATTATGTTTGAATGTTTTGGTGTCTTCAGGATCTATAGTGATGATCATTCTTGACATGTGTTATTTGTGTCTTTTCTCTTTTTTTTTCCTTAACCATTTTTACCTAGGTTTTATTGATTTTATTAATTGGTCTTTCCAGACAACCAACTTTTGGCCTTCTAGGTCTTCCTTTTTGCAGTTATTATCCACTTTATTAATTCTTACTGCATCCTTAGTGTTATCCAACTCTTGGTTTTAATTAGCTGTACTTTTTACAACTTTTTAGGATGAGTCCATTGATCTTCAACCTTCTTACTTCCATGATTTTTGCTTTTCTTTATGGCTGCATAATACTCCATTGTGTATATGTACTACGTTTACTTTATTCAGTCCACTTTTGATGGGCAGTAAGGTTGATTCCATGTTTTTGCTACTGTGAATAGTGCAACTGTAAACGTGAGTGTGCAGGTATCTTTCTGGTAGAATGGTTTATGTTATTCCAGGTATATTCCCAGGAGAGGTATTGCTGGATCGTATGGAAGGCCATTTTTAGTTTCTTTAGGAATCACCATGCTGCTTTCCATAGAGGATGCCTGTGCATTTTAGATTACACATTTCTCCCCAAGCAGCGCTTTAGCTGCATTCCACAAGAAGAGGTAGATTATAATATTTAGGTCTGCTTTTTTTTTTGGTTTATCTTGTGGTTTTTGTTCTTATTGTCCCATCCCCTCCCATGCCTGTTTTTTATTTGTTGTTCCCTTTTTTGGATTTTGAGCATTGTGTATTTCAAATTATTTGTAAATGATCTGAGACCTTGAATTGTATTACTTCTGTATTATATTTCTTCAAAAGAGATTCAGATTTGTTTCAGGTAGGATAGTTGTAATACTCATAAACCAGGATTATTTTAATCCAATTTCAGAATTTGAGATGGTTTTAAACCATACTGCAGCCCTGTGAGGGTAATTGTAATTTCTGGTTCACCCTAATACTAGATGCAGCTCTATGCATCTCAACCCAAGTTGTAGTGTTTTATTAGACCTCCTGCTCTTGTTCTGAGGCTTGTACTCCAATTTTTATCCCCTTTGTGCTGAGGCACTTAGAAATACTGCTTAGCATTTGCTGCATTTGAAAAAAGTCTTAAGGAAAAATGGTCTCGAATCCTAGACTCAACTTTCTTTTTTTTGAGTTGGAGTCTCACTCTGTCGCCCAGACTGAAGTGCAGTGGCCGCTCCTGGCCACCACAGCCTCGACCCGCTGGGCTCCGGCAATCCTTCCGCCTCAGCCTTCCAAGTAGCCGGAATTACAGTCACGCGCTACCACACCCGGCTGATTTTTTGATTTATTGTAGAGATGAGGTCTCGCTGCCCAGGCGGGTGTCGAACCCGCGGGCTCAGGCTATCCACTCACCTCAGCCTCCCAAAGGCGCGGGATGACAGGCTGAGCCACCGAGCCCGGCTTAGACTCAACTTTCAATGTGTCAATCTTGACCTCATTTTAGCCCAGTAATTCATCACAGCCTTGATAGCTCCCAGGGCCTTGAAGAGTATGTTTTATTATATAAAAGTCAAGCATATACTCTGTTTAAAAAGACAAAAGAGCAGCGCCGTGAAGTTCATAATGAAAACAGAAACCAGCAAGGCTTTGCTCTAAAATCCTTTCCATTTATTCAAAAATAGTTACTTTCAGTTCATCTGTTTCTTTTAGTATTTGCCTCCATATTTCCAAAGGGTACGTGTATTGCTTCAATATATTTCATTGAATGTTATAAAAAATTATGTAGACAACTTCTGCTTCTGAAAAGGGTGCATAAAAGATAAAATTTTTGTCATCGTGAGCTTCTGAATGTGCCTTTCATATACCATTACTTTTGACTGATATTTTAGCTGATTGTAAAATGCTAGCATATATATTGTTTTTATTTGAAGGCATTTCCCATTGTTTTTTCACCTTCAGGATGCTGTTGATAAGTGTGATTTAGTTGTCATTCCTTTTGTATGCATGCGACATATGTCCACCCTCTTTACCTCCCTTGCCCTCTCTTTTAATATTTTCCTTTTTTTCAACCATATTGAAATTCTGTGACCATATAGCGCTGTTTTCATTCTGTGCTGGGCCTTTGGGGCACTTCTTTTGATCTAGATCTAGCATGTCCTTTAGTTTGAGAAGTTTTTCTTTGATTATTTCTTTTATAATTTCTTCTCCATTTTTTGTGTTTCTGTATTTCTTCAGCTCTTACTGATTGGCTGTTGGATCTTCTGGTCTGAGCTTCTGATGTTGTTGTACCTTTTGTCTCCTGGTGTATCTGTCTTCTGATCCTTTTGTTCTGCTTCCAGGAAGTTTTTCTCATCTTTCTTGCTCGATATTTCTGTAGAATTTTTTTTTTTTTTTTTTTTTACTTATGTCATTTTCCAATCTCCAAGAGCTCTTTGGGATCCTTTTAAAAATAATCTTCTTATTGCACAAATGCTGTACCTTCTGAGGATATTAAGAGTTTATTATTTTGGTTACATATGTGTTGTCTTTATTTTCTTTGTTTCCTCTGAATTTCATTTTCTGTTCACTTATATTTGATGCAGAAAACTTTTCTTAAATGTCTGTAATTATCTGACTCTGCTCCACTCTTTGTCTTCTAAAATTGTGGTCCCTTCTTTTAGCCACTTAGTTCTCTTTATCCTTGTAGGCCTCCAGCTCTTTTTTCTTTTTCTTTTTATTTATTTTTTGAGTTGGGATCTCATTCTGTTACTCAGGATGGAGTGCAGTGGTACAATCACAGCTCACCACATCATTGACCTCAGGCTAAGACAATCCTTCCACTTCAGCCTCCTTAGTTTCAGTAGCCCTTCGGAGTCTTTTTGAGTAGGGAGAAGAGGTAAACGCATGTGTGATTCACCATTCTAACTGGAACAGATCTGTTTTTAATTAGCAGGTTATGCATTCTTTAATGTGTTTCTCTGTGACAGAGTCTGAAAAATAGAATTGCTGAAATAGGGGTTATAGACATTTTCATTTTGACAAATATTAAATTAAGTCTCCTGTTTGATCAGTTGTACTTAAGAGATTGTGAGTGAATAGTAATGTACATTTTGTTCTCTGCATTTTTTGCAGGTTTCAAAAACTTTTAACAAACAAGTAACTCATGTTGTATTCAAAGATGGATACCAGAGCACCTGGAACAAAGCTCAGAAGAGAGGAGTAAAGCTCGTTTCAGTGCTCTGGGTTGAAAAGTAAGTCGTTTCTCTCTAAGTTTTTCCTTAAGTATCTAGTGTTGAAAAAGTGTGGAAGTGTTTTGCATAGATCACAGAACCAGGTAAAGTTCGATTCTGTCTTTTCTTTGCCTATTACGTGGGCAAGTAACTTGATACCCTCTAGCCTCAGTTTCTACAGCTGAAAAATGGGTATACTGTAAGACCTAACTCTGCCTACAGGGAAAATGAGCACAGAAGCCCTAAAGAATAGGTCCGCTTGGTGTATTTGGGAAACAGTCAGGAATGTGAGAATGTGATGAAGCAGACTGTGTTAGTCTGCTAGGGCTGCCATAACAAAGTATCATAGACTGAGTGGCTTAAACAACAGAAATCAATTTTCTCACAGGTCTGGAGGCTAGAAATCCAAAAACAAGATATATGGGGGTTGGTTTCTCCTGAGGTCTCTCTCCTTGGCCTGCACACACCCACCTTTTCCCTGTATTCTCACATAGTTGTCCCTCTGTGTCTATCTGTGTTCTAATCTCCTCTTATAAGGACACCAGTAATACTGAATTGGGGCCACACTGGCAACTTCATTTAACTTTACCTCTTTAAAGAGACTGTCTCCAAATCCAGTCACATTCTGAGTTGCAGGGGGCTTGGGTAATTCATCTCATAAAAAGAGTGGTCAAGGGAAGTTTAGGTGGAGATTGAGATCAAAGAGGTCGTGGGTGTCAGGGCATGCAGGTGTGAAGAACAGTCAGGTTCAGGACCTGTTTTTGAAGGAGATGCCTAACTAGATTTACTAAGGATTTGAATGTGAATTTATAAGGAAAACAGAGTCAGGATAACTAGGATCTTTGGCCTGAGGATTTGCCATTTTCTGAGATTAGGAAGGCTTCAGAAGGACCAGACTGGGTAGGCGGGAGTTCTGTGTGGACATACTGATGTGAGGTGTTGATTAGATAGTCCTGTAGAGATGTAAGGCAGACAGCCAGCCATATGAGTCTGGCACTTAAGGAGAGGTTGGAGATGAAAACATGGGGTCGTCAGTGTATAGGTGTTATTTAAAGCCAGAAACTGGGCATGATCCTTGGTGTAGACAGGGAAGGGAAGAAGCTTCAGGACTGAGCTTCCAGGATTTAGAGGTCAAGGAGGAACTAGTGAGGGAGACTGAGGAGGAACAACCCACAAGGGCGAGGTTCTTGACTTCCAGGGAAGCGGGCTTCTCAGGGTGAGGACATCAGCTATGGCAGAAGGTTGAGTGGAGGGAGGTCTAAAAGATCGCCAGTGGAATTATCAACAGGAACCCTTGGGAATCTTGGCAGTTCATGAGAGCAAGCAATACTGGAATAGATGTACTAGAAATTGGAATGGGATTGGAAACTGCAGGTAGACAGCTCTGGCAGAAACAGAACTGGACAGGACCTGGAGATGTCTTTTAAGAAGGGAGGAATGACAGCATCACTGAGCTTGGGAAGCTCATCCAGTGGAGAGGGAAAGTTTTATGATGTCAAGGTAAGAGGAGACATTCACTTGCGCAAATAGCTTAGGGGTCTGCGAGGATAGGCTGTAGTGGAAAGGTCAGTGGGCTAGATAGGACCAGGGTTGGATCATTTTTACAGACGGAAGGGAGCGCATTGTTCAGAGACAGTTACTGTTAAGTGAGTAGATGTGTCGGTCAGACCTTGTGGAAATTCTTTCCTGTTTGTACTTTCACAGTGAGGAAGCAAGATCTTCATCTGAGAACGAGAGTAGGGGAAAAGGTTTTGGAGGTTTGAAGAGAACATATGAGATAGTTGCCTTGGAATGGGGGAGAGAGTGCATGGATTATGGAACATGGTAGTGTTGCCAGTGGGCAGGACTAGGGGCTCACTTGAGGATGGTGGGTGTAAGTTAAATGAGCCCAGAAAACAAGCCAGTTATTTATCCAGCAACCTTCAAGCAGGAAGGAGGAGGAATGTTGGAGTTAACCAAGATTGGGATTTTCCCAAGTAACTACCATCAAGGGAGAGAAGCCAAAGGAGGTGAGGAACATGCTAGGTAGTCATTACGATGGACCATGGAACCCAGGCTTGAGGGGAGGTCATGAAGGGAGCAGAGGAGATGGGAAAGTTAACAGATCGTAACTCTTAGCTGGGTTGAGATACTGTTCGGTTGTATAAGAGGCTGTGAGTTTGGAAAGACAGGAGGATGTGGTTGGAGGAAGTGATGCTTGCAATGTAGGTGATGGCAGGTATGCTGAGGATATAGAATCATACCCATAGCACCTGTTCTCTTTGTAGGGATCCTTCTCCATTTTAGGGCCATTTACCTTTGAAGTAGTTCTTTATTCAGCAGTAACAAACAATAAGTGTATACTAGGTGCTCTGGAGAAACTAGAACGCATATGACAAAGCACTTAAAGAATTTATAACTAGGCAAGAGGAGCAGATAAAACGCCATGTGTCATAGTTTGTTTTCTGTTGCTTATAACAGAATACCTGCAAGTAGGTAATTTATAAAGAAAAGGAATTTATTTCTTAGTGCAGAAGCTGAGAAGTTCAAGATCTAGGGACCGCATCTGGTGAGGGCCAGGTGAGGGTTTCACATGGTGGGGGGACTGATCATGCTAGCTCAGGTCTCTTTTCCTCCTTTTATAACTCATTGTATGTAAATATTTTAAAATTTGAAAACATCGAAATTTCAAAACATTTCTGGTCGCAAGCATTTTGGATAAGAATTCTCAACCTGTGCCACATTTTGTATATGCATTCATCAGTATATGCACGTTTGAGTTATTTCCAGTTTGGGGCTATTATGAATAATGCTGCTGTGAGTATTTGTCTACAAGTTTTTGTGTGAATATATATTTGTTTTGTGTGAATATATATTTGTTGGGTGTATTCAGTTGCCCTTTAGTGTCTGCAGGAGATTGGTTCCAGGATCCTGTATAAATACCAAAATCTGCAGTTCTCAAGTCCCTGATACAAAATAGTGTAAATTTGCATATAACCTATGTACAGCCTCTCATATCCTTTAAATCATCTCTAGATTACTTGTACCTAAGACAATGTAAATGCTATGTGAATGGTTGTTACACAGTATTATTTTTTAATTGTTGTGTTGTTATTTTGCATTTATTTTGTCATGCATTTCCATCCACGATTGGTTGAACCTGTAGATGTGGAACCCACTGAGAGGACCAAGTGTAGGCACACTGTTGGGTCATATGGATTTTGAGGATTTGCCAAACTATTTTCCACAGTGGCCGCACTATTCTCCATTTCCACCAGTGGTGTATGATGGTTCTAATTTCTCCACATGAGCATGCTAGCTCAGGTCTCTTTTCCATATGCTATCTCTCTTTGATGATAGCCTTTATAGTGTGTGTGAAGTGGTATCTCACTATAGTTTTGATTTGTATTTCCCTAATGGCTAATGATATTGAGTAGCTTTTTATGTTTTGTTTTTGTTTTTGTTTTGTTTTTTTGAGTTGGAGTCTCACTCTGTCGCCGAGACTGGAGTGCAGTGGCCGCTCCCGGCCACCTCAGCCTCGACCTGCTAGGCTCCAGCGATCCTTCCGCCTCAGCCTTGCAAGTAGCCGGAACTATAGGCATGCGCTACCATGCCCGGCTGATTTTTTGATTTATTGTAGAGATGAGGTCTCGCTGCCCAGGCGGGTCTCGAACCCGTGGGCTCAGGCAATCCATTCACCTCAGCCTCCCAAAGGTGCGGGATTACAGGCTGAACCACCGAGCCCGGCTGCTTTTTATGTTTTATTGGCTATTTGTATATCTTCTTTGGAGAAATATCTACTCAAATACTTTGCCCAATTTTAAAAATTGAGTTATCTTTTTGTTGTTGAGGTCTGAGAGTTCTTTTGATAGTGTCCTTTGAAACACAAACTTTTTTTCATTGATTATGTTCAATTTATCTTTTTTCTTTTATTGCTTGTACTTTAAATGTCACATCCAAGAAATTATTTCTTAACCCCAAGGCATGAAAATTAACATCTATACTTTCTTATAGAAGTTTTATAATTTTATCTCTTAAATTTAGGTCTGTGATTTCACTTTGAATTAATATTTGTATATGGTGTGAGGTAGGATTCCATTTTTGTTCTTTTGCATGTGACGAAATGGTTGTCCCAGCAACATTCGTTGAAGCACCATATTCTCATTAAATGGTACCCTTGATGAAAATTGGTTTACCATAGACACGTGGGTTTATTTATGGACTCTCAATTCTATTTGATTGACTTTTGTGTTTATCATTATGCCAGTACTGCACAGTTTTGATTACTGTAACTTTGTGGTAAGTTTTTCAAATTGGGAAGTGTGAGTTTTTCAGTTTTGTTTTTCCTTTTCAAGATTGTCTGGCTCTTCTGGGTCCCCTCTATCTCCACATGAATTTTATGATCAGTTTATCAATTTCTTCAAGAAATAAAAAGGGCTGCTGGGATTTGATAGAGATTATGTTGCGTCTCCATCAAGGGAAGTGTTGCTATTTTTATAATATTTAATCTTCCAGTCCATGAAAATGGGATATACTTTTTTTCAAGGACTTTAATTTCATTCAGTAATGTTTTGTATTTTTCAGTGTATAAATTTTACACTCCATAGGTTAAATTTATTCCTTTTTTGTTCATTTTCACAAACATGGAATTGTTTTATTAATTTCATTTTTAAATTATTAGCTGTTAGTACATAGAAAAGAAACTGATTTTTGTGTATTGACCTCATATCCTACAACCATGCTAAATTTGTTTATTAGCCCTCAGTGTCTTTGTGAGTCCCTTATGATTTTCTTTTGTTTTTTTTTTTTTTGAGTTGGAGTCTGACTCTGTCGCCCAAACTGGAGTGCAGTGGCTGCTCCCGGCCACTGCAGCCTTGACCTGCTGGGCTCCGGCGATCCTTCCGCCTCAGCCTTCCAAGTAGCCGGAATTACAGGCATGCACTACCACACCCAGGTGGTTTTTTGGTTTATTGTGGAGATGGAGTCTCGCTGCCCAGGCGGGTCTCAAACCCGTGGGCTCAGGCAATCCACTCACTTCAGCC